AAAGACGCTCAACTGATGCTCGTAATTGGGAGATCGCGCCTATAAAAGTCGCGGCTAGACGCAGGTGCGTTCATTTCACTTCAATTCACTTCATTCCACACTCAGAAAAAAAAAGTCAAGTCTTCAGAACGATCGCATCGAAGAGCCGAAAAGGTCCATTCTTATAACGGTCGTGTTTTGCAGTCCAACCTAGAAAATTTCAATCGAAAATCCTCACTGATAGGGCAAAACCAGAAAAGGAGGTAAGGAAATAATTATTCTCGGGCCTTCCGGTACTGATTACACATTTTATTGAATTTCACTATTTCTAAGCTGCGAGCAAGTTCAAATGAGCCTCTTAATATTCTTCAAATATTCTTCCTTTGTTAACCACGTCTCAAGCGAAAGAAAAATCAACCATTGTAGAGATAATACGAAGAATTCATAATATATATTATATATATTTGAAAGTAAAGACAATTCATTTACCGACTTATATATTAAAAACGAAAATCCAAAGAACCGAACTGCAACCATCCTTTTAGAAATAATAAATTGAAATATTCCTCTTCCATTATCTCAAAATATTGATTATCTCAAAAATAACTAAAAGCGCGTCAAACTCAAAGCAAAATTATAAATCTAACTTGACGTATACTCTGTGGCAGAGCTGGAGACGATCTGCACATTTTGGGCAAAATTCAAAAGGTGACACCTACCGTCCCCTTGCCACCGCTTCGCGCTTAGCGGCCGAGGCGACTATCGCGGTGCATTCAGGTCCGTCGCTATATAAGAAATCAGTTAAAACGCACTCCCGCGTCATATTATCATTAAAATTTTTTCCTCGTTTATTAATCACTTTAAAATATATATGTTTATCCGTTATTTAGCAAATAACGTCAGAGCAGAGCTCTGCTCTGACTTGTCCAAGACGTAACAGTAGGCAAATGAGTTAATCTGAACTGCATGAGAGACACACCATTTAACAGAAATATTAGGTGTAAAACTTTGCTTCCGCCGTTTTCCTATAGATGGCTTTAGCGGTAAATAGTGGTCGAAATAAATATATCATAGACGTCGTGCAATAAACTTGGGCATCTGTCAACATAATCCCATAGAAACATTAGTCGATTTGTCCGCATCATAAAGTTATTCTCGATTGAAAATGTCAGTTTACGAGCCAAATTCTCGTCATTTGCGGGAGGTTTTAATTTTCTGCTTCAATATGATGAAATCTGCGGCTGAGGCTCATCGAATGCTCTCAAATACTTATGGTGAGGCCGCTATTAGTGAAAGAACGTGTCGTGAGTAGTTTCAACGCTTCAAGAATGGTGATTTTCACGTCGAAGAGCGGCATAGCGGTGGAAGAGAGAAGGTTTTCGAAGATGCAGAATTGGAGGCATTACTTAATGAAGACTCGTGTAAAAGTCAAGAAGAATTGGCACGATCATTGGGAGTGACTCAACAAACAATTTCAAAGACATGGGAATGATTCAGAAGCAAGGAAATTGGGTGACGTACGAGTTGAAACGGAGAGATGTTGAACGGCGTTTGTTTGCTTGTGAACAGTTGCTTGAATGGCAAAGACGGAAGGGATTTCTGCATCGCATTGTGACTGGGGACGAAAAATGGGTTCATTACGATAACCCCAAGCGTAGAAAATCATGGAGATATCCGAGCCATGCTTCCACGTCGACCGCCAAACCAAATATTCACAGCTCCAAGATCATGCTCTGTATTTGGTGGAACCAGCTCGGCGTAGTGTATTATGAGCTGTTAAAACCGACTGAATCAATCACACGCGATCGTTATCGAACGCAATTAATGCGTTTGAGTTGAGCATTGAAAGACAAACGGCCACAATACAACGAGAGACACGATAAAGTGATTTTGCAGCATGACAATGCTCGACCCCATGTTGCGAAAGTGGTCAAGACATACTTGGAAACGTTGAAGCGGGAAGTCCTACCCCACCCGCCGTATTCTCCAGACGTTGCTCCCTCTGACTATCACTTGTTTCGATCAATGGCACACGGCCTGGTTGACCAGCACTTCCGGTCTTATGAAGAAGTAAGAAATTGGATCGATTCGTGGATCGCTTTAAAAAATGGCCCGTATTTTCAACGCGGGATTCGTACGCTGTCCGAAAGATGGGAGAAAGTAGTGGCCAGCGATGGACAATACTTTGAATCATAAATGTATAACCGGTTTTTTACAATAAAGCCTCGAATTTCGGAAAAAAAACGGCGGAAGCAAAGTTGTACACCTAATATACAGGGTGTCTTATAACTAATCTGGCAGAGCTCGTGGAGACATAGAGCGGGTTAAGACAAATATAAAAGTCCCATACCGTTTTGTGAGATTCGCAATAATTATCGAGTTATTAATGACAGAAATCTGAGGAATGAGTGCATGTCGAGACGTTATGGGAGTAGCATCTAGCCGCTCAGGCTAGAGGCACTGCCCAATCGACATAGGTACTGTTGCCGGCGCGCGGCGAGAGGAAGGACGACACGCCAATGTTTATGTCCTTACCTCGCCGCTCCTACATCCCGCCGCACCGCGTCTAAACTCGCGCCGATATGGTCGCTGAATATTCGCGATTACAATTATGAGATTATTTTATGAGGTACCGCAGATAACTCATACTGAATTGTAAAGTTCAAGATTCAAAAGTTCTTTGATCAAGGAAAACATCGAAAAGAAGAAAGCGATAGAGAGCGATGAGATCTACAGAGATTCTCATTGTTTTCTATCGCAATCTATCGTTTTGCTGCATCGGATCCGAAAGAAATGATTTCGCGTAAAGATAGAGTACGATGAACACTTTTCATCGTACTCTATTGTACTCTATCGTTAGGAGAATATTTAATTGTTAGAGTATGATAGAATTCGCGTAGAGACTCATCGTGTCCTATCGTTTTATTCAAGTTTACACGGAAAATATGTTTGGTTGAATGAACCAATTTTCTGACGAGATGAGAGAGAGAGAGAGAGAGAGAGAGAGAGAGAGAGAGAACGATTAAGAAATTTTGATTGAGAATAGCACAATTTTATTTAAGTTAACCATAAACCTTGATGAATTAGACTCAGTGTTAATATTTTCAGTTAATATTTCTCTGTATCGTTCATATTTCATTTGCAAGCTGTATCATGGATCAAACATTGTTACCATATATCATGCATAAATTGTTGTCTTATATCGTAATTCTTGTCAATGGTATAGTCAGTGGTTGTCAGTGGTGTGTTATTTTGACACGCATAAAAATAACGTGTCAAAATGACACACTCGGATTTGTTGTATCGCAATTATACCTAGGAATCAATTTTATGCCGAGTATCGTTGGTGCACCATTGACAACGATGGTCCTCCTTTCGCAATTGTACGATACAGAACTTTCAGTTTCTTCTGTCGTTAATACCACTGACAAGAATTACAATATAAAACAACAATTTATGCATGATATATGGTAAAAATGTTTGGTCCATGATACAGCTTGCAAATGAAATATGAACAGAGAAATATTAACTGAAAATATTAACACTGAGTCTAATTCATCAAGGTTTATGATTAACTTAAACAAAATTGTGCTATTCTCAATCAAAATTTCTTAATCGTTCTCTCTCTCTCTCTCTCTCTCTCTCTCTCTCTCTTTCTCTCTCTCTCTCATCTCGTCAGAAAATTGGTTCATTCAACCAAACATATTTTCCGTGTAGACTTGAATAAAACGATAGGATACGATGAGTCTCTACGCGAATTCTATCATACTCTAACAATTAAATATTCTCCTAACGATAGAGTACAATAGAGTACGATGAAAAGTGTTCATCATACTCTATCTTTACGCGATATCATTTCTTTCGGATCCGATGCAGCAAAACGATAGATTGCGATAGAAAACAATGAGAATCTCTGTAGATCTCATCGCTCTCTATCGCTTTCTTCTTTTCGATGTTTTCCTTGATCAAAGAACTTTTGAATCTTGAACTTTACAATTCAGTATGAGTTATCTGCGGTACCTCATAAAATAATCTCATAATTGTAATCGCGAATATTCAGCGACCATATCGGCGCGAGTTTAGACGCGGTGCGGCGGGATGTAGGAGCGGCGAGGTAAGGACATAAACATTGGCGTGTCGTCCTTCCTCTCGCCGCGCGCCGGCAACAGTTCCTTTGTCGATTGGGCAGTGCTCTCTAGCCTGAGCGGCTAGATGCTACTCCCATAATGTCTCGACGTGCACTCATTCCTCAGATTTCTGTCATTAATAACTCGAGAATTATTGCGAATCTCACAAAACTATATGGGGCTTTTATATTTGTCTTAACCCGCTCTATGTCTCCACGAGCTCTGCCAGATTAGTTATAAGACATCCTGTATATATTTTATTTATTACAAAAACAGTCTTTGTAAATTACACGGTGTCGGAACACGCCGGAGGAGAAGAGAGCTTCGCTTCGTCTGTTTCTGTTTGTCTTACTAACCTAACTACTGTTTGTCATGGTGTGTACGCAAGGGAATCAAAAGAGTGCTATATATTCGGCTTAAACTTCTTAGTCTAAATTGACCATAGTGGCAACGGCTTATCGCCTTATGCATCAGCCTTTCACTGACTGTGGCTACAATACCCCCTTCCAGTAACAAAGTGATTTTGTTAAATTATAATTATGCAAAATAAAGAAAAAATTGCACTTCATAAAGCTACTGTCTCGTTATGTCTAGTTGAAACTGAAAATAAAATTGCTCGTTACTATCAATAGTTAAAAAAATATTAAATGGAAATAAATACTTCTCGCAATAAGGATGTTATCACAATATACGTCCGTCGCATTGTAAGATTTTGTGAAATGTTTGGATAGCGAAAATCGAACCTTATTAAATTTTGCTGTGCGATTTTTACCACTTACTAATAAACACAAAGAATATTGCTTCGCACTTTGTTATCGTCGATACTTATGAATCGTACAGTATTCTTACGCTTAGGACCATCGTAGATGCGTGACCTATCAATAAATATCGATGTTAGTCCAGTTGATGTAGATTGTGTATCGCTGCGATGGTGAAAGCACATGGCTTGACATGGACTGTGTTGGTGGTGTTTGCGACGTTTGCCACTTGGAATCTGATGACTGCGGTGATGCCTGTAATGCCTGCTCCGATGTCGACTGCGATGCCGTTCCTGCGTCGGATTGCTTGGTACTTGCGGGCTGTCGTGTCCCTTGGTGTTTTTGAATTGCCGAAATGTGTTCATTTTCCTCGTTGTCCTCCTATGCGTATAGGCCGGGTTTAAACGTTCTGTGGAAACTGTGAATGTTGTGTTAGGTCCTGTGCGTGACGTAGTGAACACCCGATCCGTATTTCTCACTCACTACTCCGTACGGTCCTGTGTATGGAGGGCGGAGCGGTTTCTTGCCTGAGTTAGCGCGCAAGAAAACATGCGTACAAGAATACAAATCCTTGTAAATGAAGGCGGAGCGTCATATATGATGTGCTGTTGGAGGTGGGCGGAATTCTGCCATATATCCTCGAAGCTTGTGGAGAAAAATTTTTTCATTGGGCTCGTCATTCTCTTCAATAAAAAATTCTCCTGGAACTCGTAGTGTTGTACCATATAACATTTCTGCTGGTGAACATTTTATGTCTTCCTTGAAGGCCGTGCGCAATCCAAATAAAACTATAAGTAGTTTGCTAATCCAATCGTCAGATTCGTAACACATAAGTGCCGTTTTTAGAGTGTGATGGGATCTTTCTACTATTCCGTTTGATTTAGGATGATATGCTATTGTCCGTAGGTTGTCCATTTACATTCGACGGTGTTACGGAGGGCAGTGAATAGGGGAGCTTCAAACTGGCTACCTTGGTCAATAATTACGGTTTTTGGAACGCCATATCTTGATATCCAAACGTCGAAAAATGTATCGGCGATTATAGTGGCTTCTATGTTCTTGATTGGTATTGCCTCAGGCACCTTGAAAATCTGTCGACGATGGTTAGGCAATATCTGAAGTCACGACAGGTTTATAATGGACCAATGACGTCTAAGTGTACGTGATCAAATCTGCTATCAGAAACTGGGATTTTCTCTGGAATATTGCGGTTATGCCGGTGGATTTTGGCACGTTGGCAGGGTAAGCAAGTGCGAGCCCAAAGTTTAATGTCCTTATTCATGTATGGCCAGACAAATTTACGGCTTACCAGCTTTGCTGTCGCTCGTCCACTTGAGTGAGATGTGCGATGAACGGTGTTATAAACGATGTAAGATCTTTGGTATGTACGGTCTATTCTCTGACGTACTTGTGTCGCAGAAAATTGTATGCCCATTCACCAGAAATCTTGTGAGATTTAATGCGGTCTCAAAGTTAAGGAGTTGTTGTAGCTCCTTGTCGTCTGATTGAGCTTTTGCGATCTCCTCCGTGGTAATGATCAATGGCATAGCGATAGTTTCGATTCTCAAAAGGATGTCAGCGACTACGTTTTTCTCTCCTTCAACATAGATTATATCAGTGGTAAACTAACTGATAAAACTGAGCTGCCGTTGCTGAATAACTGATGCTTTGTCTGCTCTTTGCCGAAACGCAAACTTTAAAGGCTTATAATCAATGTGAATTTTAAGTTCCCTGCCTTCGACCATGTGCCTGAAATATTGTAAGCTTTTATGGATAGCAAGCAGCTCCCTATTGTAAGCGCTGCATGTGTGTTTGGTTTTTGACAATTTATGTGAGTATAGAATGCTATTGGTTGCCGCATGTTACCGATTTGCTGTTCAAGTGACACTTTAATAGTTGTATCCGAGACGGTATGAAGAATCAACGGAGCATCGTCGGCTAGATGTGCGAGCAAGGTGGTGTTGACGAGGTCGTGCTTGCAAGCTTGGAAAGCTTCTTCGGCTTCTACGGTCCATACAATCGGTCTCTTATCCTTCTTTTTACTGTTTTGTAGGTATTTATATAGGGATGCTTGATTTTTAATTGCGCCTTTGACGAATCGTCGGGAAAAAGTGATCATTCTCAAAAATCTTCTCAATTCCATGACGGTAGTCGGCTTCGGAAACTCTAGAATTGCTTTAACTCTCTCGGACAAAGGTTTCGATCCTTCCGCGTTGATCAAATAGCCTAAATATCGTACTTCGCTGGCCATGAAAATGCATTTAGAGGCGTTGATGCTCAATCCATGCTTTGCTAACCGGTCGAAGAATTATGCGAAGGTGTTCAACGTGCTCCTCGAGTGTTTTGGAAACTGTCAATAAGTCATCAATATAGACGTAGAAAAAATCGAGGTCTCGAAAAATAGAATCCATCAGGCGTTGGAATGATTGTGCCGCGTTGCGCATCCCGAATGTCATTACTATGAACTCGTATAAGCCAAACGGCGTAATTACCGCCGTTTTTGGAATGTCTTCCTTGTTCATTGGCACTTGAAAATATGCGCGTACTAAATCAAGTGTGGAAAATACTTTCTTGCCGTAAAGTTTATATGCGAAGTTTTGTATGTTCGGAATGGGTAACGGTCTGATACCGTGACTGCGTTTAATCTCCTGTAATCGCCGCAAAGTCTCCAGCTTCCGTCCTTCTTGCTTACTAGGTGTAATGGGCTCGCCCACGGACTTGACAAAGGTCTGCAGATACTTTTATTCAACATGAATTAGAATTCTCGTACGGCTGCTTTATATTTCTTGACCGGTAGTCTCCTTGCTCTTTTGGCGACCGGCGGTCCATGTGTCACTATGTGATGCCGTATTTGATGGCGAGGTGTGACTGGGGCTTTTGACGACGGTGATTTGCTCGTACTGTCTAAGGAGCATCTCGACCGGTACTGGAAAGCCAGGAGTGATTATCGATATGCCATGTAATGGGCATTGTGCAATCTTTCCCCGCGAGGTTAATCCGATTTCCTTGTCGATGAGACGTTTGGCCTGTAAATCAACGAGTAGATCATAGTTTTAAAAAATCGGCTCTCAGTATAGGTTTGGTTACTTCGGCTACTAGGAAAGGCTACTGGAATTTCCTACGCAATCCCAACTCAAGGTCCAGGACTAGTTTACCAAAAATGCGGATTGGTGTCCCGTTCGCTGCGTATGCGAAGTTATCTGTTGCCTCTCGCTCGTGGACTGGCGGAATTATCGAAATTGTCGCTCCCGTATCGGCTAAAAATTGTATTCCGGTTAATGCATCTCGAATATAGAGGCGGTTCGCACCTTGTTCGTCACTACCATCCGCCCGAATCTGTGACGATACTAGTTTTCCGTATGCGGACATGGCATGTTATATGCCTCTACATCATGTTCTGTCTAGAGCTAGAGCGACAATTGATGCGGTGCGAGCGGAACTCGAAAATAATCCGCATACCAGTACACGAGTTATTGCGCATATTCTGCAATTAAGCCAGAGTAAAGTGCATAATAAGCGCATAATAAAAAAAGAACTTGAGTGGCACCCATTCAAAAAATACCCAACTCAGAAGCTACTTCCTGCCGATTTTCATCGCCGTCAAGCATTCTGCGATTGGATTTTAGACAAGGTAATTATATGATTGGGATAAAATAATATGCAATAAACGTAATATATGCAATAAATGTAATGAACCTATTGTTTTATTTATGCCTTACAGATTGATTTTGACAACGTGGCAGATGGTGCGTTTTTAAGAAAAATTTTATGGACGGACGAGTGCATCTTTCATAGTGACAGCGGTATTAATCATCATAATGAACATCATTATGCAGAAGAGAATCCCCATTGCCGCAAAACCGTCCATGTCCAAAGGAAATATTCCATCCATGTTTGGGCGGGCATATTGGACGATAAGATTATTGGGCCGTTCTTTTTCGCAGAGGATGTTCACATTACTGGCGAAATTTATGCTAATTTTGTAGACGACACATTAAGCGGCTTATTGGAAGATATGCCGTTAATTCTAAGGAGTATTGTAATTTTTCAGCAAGATGGTCATTCCGCCCATACGTCCGTTGTCGTGAAATATTAAATAGAAAATTCCCCGATCGATGGATCGGGATTTATAGTAATTTTTAGGAGTGGCCGCTGCGCTTACCTGATCTTACTCTTTTAGATTTTTCTGTGGAAATATTTAAAAGACCGGGTGTATCAAACATTACCACGGAATACAGAAGAATTAATTAATCGCGTACAAACTGCGTGTTTAGAAATATCACCGCAAATATTACGCAGAGTACGTGAAAGTTTTGTGCGGCGAGCTATTTTATGTGAGGACCGCGATGGGGGATATTTTGAACACCTTCTGTAAATTAATTATACTGTAAATATCTGTAAATATCATTATTATAAAAATATTTACGTTTCTTATTTCGTGCAATTCTATTTAACTAAATATTCTAAATAAAATATTAATGAATACACACTTACATAATTGTTGCTTATTTATTTGTGTCTTGCGTCGTAGTATTCTACGTTGTATCTGACCGCGTCCTCACGTATTCTTTATCGCGTGAGTGGATTACAAAAAGACGGAAAGTCTCAGTGCACCTGACCGGCGACACCGGGGTCGGATCTTCAATTCAGTAGGCTTCGTGGAAGATTCACGATAGAGTTTCTTGTAATTGCCGTATAAGGAACTCAGTACGAGGCGATGCAATACAAAGAATTCAGTACGCACTTGTGCAGTGCGCGTTGACTTTACTCTCGCGTAGCTAGGCAATTCTCTGCCGCTCTCGCACGCTGACCGGAACCTCGCTCTCGAAAATCTCGGTATTCCGTCAGGCGTAAAGAACCAATTATTTTTCAAGAAGGAGAATTACTTTTCGAATCAGCTCAATAACCGCGAGTGTCGCTCAATAACGCTGTATCCTCGCACGACGGCAACGCGTGAGCAGCAGTAAACACAGTCTTGTTAACGTGGTTTATCCTTTTTTCTTTATGGAGCATGATTATGTTTCAGATTCTAGAAGCTTCGATTTGTGAGACTTCTAAAATCCGAGCATTACAAGGCCGATATTTCGAGTAAATTATTTAACATTTATGGATAGTATCTACGTGTCGAAGTTATGTTTTTAAATTAATTCTGCAAATTTTTGTATCGAACTTGAAGAATCTATTTAAACATACACACACGTTGCGACAATGCGTGCGTCGTTCATCGACTCCGAGACTGAATGACTATTCAACTCGTCTTATTTTTTCATGTTTACATTTCAAAATATTTTATAAATATTATATTTTTAATCTTATTATGCGAAACCTTTGACAGCGTGACTAGTGCACAATTTCATTTGACAAGTACGCGAGTGACTATACAGACATACCTGCTATTATCGACATTGATGATATTCTCGGTGTCCCTAGCAATCAGCAATCCGTACTGAGTTCTATGTTGATGCATCACCCTGTACAGAATTCGATGTTTTTATTATTTTACCAGGTATGTAAATATGAAACCGGAATTTTTGTATAGAAAATATACGTTTATTGTATGAAAATGATAAAAAATATTTTATTCGAAGTATTGCCCATCGCTAGCTATACATTTTTCCCACCTGTCTGACAATTTGTGGATGCCACGCCAAAAAAACTGTTGCTCTTTTGAGGCAAACCAGTCATCGAGCCATTTTCATACATTTTCGTAAGAAGTGAAGCGCTGCTCAGCAAATGCGTGTCCCATCAATGCAAATAAGTAGTAATCGGACGAAGCCAAGTCTGGTGAGTAAGCTACATGCGAAAGTATTTCCTAACTAAACGCCTCAATCGTTTCCTCGACTAGTTTTGCTGTGTGTGATGGTGTATTATCATGAAGCAAGATCACTTTGTGTTACCTTTTTTGATATTCTGGTCGTTTTTCACGCAAAACTTGATTCAAATCGACCATTTGTTGTCAGTAGCGTTCAGTATGAACGGTTTCGCCAGGTTTTAGCAGCTCATAATAAAGGGTTTTTCAGTTGGTGCGGGTCGATGTTGGCAGCCTGTGGCGGCCATGTTGTTTTGGCGGCGTCTGTCTAACCTTTGTTGTTTATTATTCAGTCACTGATGCCAAATCACCATGACAAGTTACACGATTGAGCAGCACGTCCAAATGATAAAACTTTATTATCAAAATGAGTGTTCGTTAGTGCAAACGTTGCGCGCGTTGCGCCCATTTTACGGCAGACGCAATGGCCCTTCAAAGTCGACTCTCCAACGTTTGGTGGTCAAATTCGAGACGACCGGTTCGGTAAACGATCAGCCAACACCTGTACGTCAAAGGAACGCCAGATCGGCCGAGAACATCGCCGCTGTAAGTGAAAGTGTGCAGGAGAACCCGAGGAAGTCAATTCCTCGCCGTGCACAAGAACTCGGCATTTCGCAGACTTCAACTTGGCGAATTTTGCGTCGGGACTTGGGCCTGCACCTGTACAAGATCCAACTGGCCCAGGAGCTCAAAATTAATGACCATAGACAACGCCGTTTGTTCGCTGACTGGGCTTCGAAACATTTGGAAGAGAACCCCAATTTTGGCTGAAAAATCATCTTTAGCGACGAGGCGCATTTTTGGATGAATGGCTATGTTAACGAGCATAATTGCCGTATATGACACGACGCCAACCCACACGAGGTTCAACAGGTAGCAATACATCCACAAAAAGTTACTGTTTGGTGCGGATTTTGGGCCGGCGACGTCATTGGTCCGTACTTTTTCGAAAACAACATTGGTGAGGCCATCACCGTCAATGGCGAGCGCTACAGAACGATGATAACCAATTTCTTTTGGCCCAAATTGAACGATATGGACGTGGACGACATGTGGTTCCAGCAGGACGGCACTACGTACCATACAGCGGACGCCACGATGGACATTCTGCATGAACGATTTGAGGGTATGGTTATCTCTCGCAGAGGTGACGTGAATTGACCACCAAGATTGTGCGATTTGACCCTGCTAGACTTTTTCTTGTGGGGTTTTCTGAAGTCGCAGGTCTATGCCAATAAGCCGCAATCGACCGATGCCCTTAAAGTCAACATAACCCAGGCCATCGCTCAAATTCAGCCGGATCTATGCGGCAGAATCATTGAAAATTGGACCACTCGGATCCGTGCCACCGTGAGAAGCCGCGGCGGACATTTGAACGATGTTATATTCCACACATAACGGCATACATGAGCCTTTCAAATAAAAAAAGAATTTCGTTAATA